TATATATATATACTTGTAAAATTTACATTTTTTTAATTAAAGTTAGGTTTTCTTTAAAAAAAAATATTTTTATTGCTTCATCCTTATCATCTCATAGATTAATCCTTATTGTTGAGCCCTGCAGCTGTCTGGAGCTGAATATACTGTTGTGTTTGTATGCTTTTCATGTTGCTCTTCATGCTTCTCCACCTGTGCTTACCGGCAGAAACAAAACACCCTCATCCCATTTAAAAAGAAGTAAAGCACAGGAATAACTCTGAAGGTTTGCATCTTTGTCATGCCATTTCTGTTTTCTTGTTTGTACGGATCTGGTCCTTGCTGTGATTGAGGGCTGTTGCAAGGTCTGGTTTTATTTTGCCACCCGTTTCCTGTTGCTCTCGATGGGGATAAAAACTGTATAGTACGTCACTCATCTTCTCATTCTCTGCTTTTTAGATATTTTCAGTGACCTCTGCACCGCTGCCCTCACCGATACAGAGGAGGCAGATGACAGCACCGGGCCGCATTCTGCTCAGGACGGCAGATTTGCATGCTGAACGCACCGTGATGCTTATACACCATACTCGACAACAGCTCGATATCTTTTGTAATACTACACAGACATCTGCTCCACTGAAGGAATAGGTGAACTGACCGATCAGAACGGATTCCACGTAACATTGACAACATTCTGTAGTCGTGAGTCAGAAATTCAGCATGCAGCCTTCGTTCTTTCCCTCTGCTGTGTCTTAGCAGCAAACGCAGAGGCATTTGAAAAGAAATATCCGGATCTCTGTGAACGCCGGACACTGATATCTGCACTGAGGCTGCCATTTGAAAACACTGAGAAGAAGAGACTCTAGACCTTTCTGTCCTGCTGAAACTTTCACTGAAATGCTTAAAGGGATCGTTCGCCCAAAAATGATCATGTTATTCCAAACCTCTATGAATTTCTTTCTTCTGCTAAAGAAGATATTTTGAAGAAATAGCCACTGACTTCCATAGTATTTTTTCAATGGCTATCAGCAATTCTTTTCATTTTTGAGTGAACTGTTCCTTCAAATACACTTGATTGTTTTGTTGCTTATTGCTTGTTTGCTTATGAGACTGTTGATCAGAAACAGCACTTTTGATGAATTAATATTCTCTAATGTAATGTACAATATTTATACTCTCTTTTATATTCTGACATGAAAGTTGTATAAGCCATCTGTAAAGCTTTGATCCTCCGCTGTTTGTAAAGCTGAATAGCTTTAATCCTCTTCAAATATTTGCCTCTACTTGATATAATATATTCATCTCTATCATGGTCTGGTTGTACATAAATAATCTCGAAACATAGTAAAAATGTGGGCTATTTACTCTGGAGATGTTTTATATGTATTTCAGAAAATATGATTGTTGTAGCATAAATATTCCAGCTGTACTGTAAAAGCATCTGATACTGTTATTTTACAGTATTGCTCATGAATGTTGTCAGTTTGTGCTAAAACGAATGCAGAAATCAGATGTACTGTATCCTTCCTGCTTTGACATGAAGAACTGGATGACAGTGAATGTCGTAATGATGCCAAAAGTTTTGTCTCATAACCGCCGATATCCACATATGATTGCGATTTAACGATGGTATAGTTTAATTACTTTCCGATAGTTTCTTAAATGTGACCCTGGAGCACAAAAGCAGTGTTAAGTCGCTTGGGTATATTTGTAGCAATAGCCAAAAATACATTGTATGGGTCTAAATTATCGATTTTTCTTTTATGCCAAAAATCATTAGGATATTAAGTAAAGATCATGTTCCATGAAGATATTTTGTAAATTTCCTACCGTAAATATATCAAAACTTAATTTTTGATTAGTAATATGCATTGCTAAGAACTTCATTTTGACAACTTTAAAGGGTATTGTCTCAATATTTTGATTTTTTTTGCACCCTCAGATTCCAGATTTTCAAATAGTTGTATCTCATCCAAATATTGTCCTATCCTAACAAACCATACATCAATGGAAAGCTTATTTATTCAGCTTACAGATGATGTATAAATATCAATTTCAAAAATTGACCCTTATGACTGGTTTTGTGGTCCAGGGTCACAAATGTAAATATCTAAGCACAAAGATTTGATATTGAATGCTGATGTGATTCTTGGTAGTATCATTATTCTGTTCATTTATATGTGAATATTTTGATTTTCACAGCTTCCTTACGGACGATATTACAGCTGATGTGAATATATATTACATAACTATACATTTCCAAATGCATAATGAAATACATTCGTTATAAAACAATGTCTGTGACTTTGCATATGGAGACTATTAAAGCCAACCAAATATAAGTTAGAAATGTCATGAAGATGTAATGAATTTTTTTAAATGTTCTCCATGGACTTCTTCCAAGAACCTTCGGGTTGAAAACTGGTGCATCAGGCTGTTTTTGGTTGTAATTAGGAGCTTTTTAAGAGAGTGTGTGACACTGAAGTGTGCATCTAAGAGGAGGACAGAAACGAGAGAGAGGGCCAGGCAAGATTCACTGGGCTTTGTTCCACAGAGGGTGTCTTTCAAACTCCCAAAAACTCCTGAGGGGCGGACGAGAAGGAAAGAGAGTGGAGAGAGCAGGACACAAAGACCCAAGAGAGATGTGACAAGCATTGAAACTGAATTTTAAAAAAGTGCACTCAGGCTGCCTTCACTTTGTCCTTGGCTTCAGGTGTCTAAAGATTTTGAAGACACCTGGCAGTCTATTTATCATGAGTCGTTGTCCCCTGAAAGCAGGCCGGGCAGAAGAAAGAAGAAGACTTCTGTCAGCAGGAAAGGGGAGGGCAGGCCGAGTCTCTGCTCAGGTTAAAGGAAGTTAATGGGGTGACATCACATCGGGACAGTGCAGGATGATGGGTTTTATTTTTTATAACATGGCTTTTTTTGGACAGGAATGTTCAGATTTAAGATGTGAACGAATGAGAATTTTACACATTTCATAATTGAATCATGCATTCACTTGTTCAATAAAACATTGACTTGATTTAGTTTGGTTAACAACTTATCATAATCTACCATGCTAATCATAGCTTCCATTAAAATACTATTATTACTACAGTAGTTGCTACCATTATAAACCATAATGAATTAATATGGGGTTTTCAAGAGTAGAAGTTATAGATAATATGGTATGACATAATAATATAAATATGCTTCTATACTTGAAAATCCCATGTTTATTATATTATATTATTATATAGTACCATGGGGTTATCAAGTGTAGAAGCATAATATGATATATATTACTAATGCTTCTACACTTAAAAATCCCTTATTATATTATATTAAAATACCATGGGGGTTTCAAGTGTAGAAGCATAATATACTATAATAAATTATAATACTAATACTTTTACTTTTACTTGAAAATCCATTATTATATTATATTTATGACGATTTACAATAATTGCATTTCGATGGAAACTATGCATGTTGATGAACAATAAGTTTAATTGTTTTATTTGTTAAACATTCTCATTTAGTTCGCGTGTAACTTTTCCCTGGATGCTTTATGAGTTGCATTGCAGCATTGTGTTTACATCAGTATCTTGTGTTTTAATCATAATGTTAAATACAGTTCATTTCACTTCAAACATGTCATTCATTCTGGGACAGAGAGCCGCTGACTGACTCCACAGCGTGCCATGCGTAGCCGTTTGAATTCATCAGCCAATCAGAGGCGTCACCTCAGAACTTCCGTCGAGCTCTTCACTCTCAGCCAATCGGCGTTGGGCTCTCATGTTTGCTTGCTTTTTTGAATTCAGTGAGTGAGTTGAACAGAGCCACCTATCAAAAGAGCGTATACAATGGACTTACTATTCTATCAAAACGTATTTTCCTAACTTTATCGTTTTATTTTGCACTTTAGACTAACTTTATGTGTCATTGCGCGGGGAGCGGTGTTCATGTGCGCACGCTTTAGTTTTAATCAACAGTTCGGCTAACATAAACCCAGATTGCTCAGCTGAACTCAGTGTTTCTTCATTCGTCAGAACCTTTCCAGCACATATCTGGACTTATCCCATTTTCATACGGTGAGTTTCCATCATGCATCTGCTTAATTCTAAATACAACACTCTGTTGGAGAGAATTTATTTTGTTTAGAAGTTAGCTAGCTATTGTGCTAGCCCATATCACTCAAGTGCATTGCAGCTGCCAATCAGCTGTCACCGCATTGTTCTCTAAAAACCTGACAGATCTTTACAATATGTGATGCTTTCTTTCGTTACCTGTTAAAATGTGCATTTTAATACATATGACATATTGCTTTTTATTAATGTAATGTTGCATTCAGATTAATTGTTGCATTTATGCAGCTGCATTTTTTTAAAAGATCTTAAGAAGTAAGCTTTGATAAATTTTGGTATATATATATATATATATATATATGAGAGAGAGATTCTCTCCTTCCTTTAACCTTGATCATTCCCTCTTAGAAACTCAACTGTTTGTCTCTTATTTCTGTGCCGCCCTTGGTCACTCCTCCAGCTTGTGATATTGTGGACAGGACTGGGTCGCCACCCCTTGTCACAGTGCCATGGCTGACAGCAGCATAGTTACTTTAGGGCCGGGCCACAGCCTGCTGGTGGACTCCTCCGTATACGACTCCCGGATGGCCGAGACCTCAAAGGAGCAATTTTTCATGGGTCTACACATAGACGAGTCAGAGGGTAAGTGAACCGCCCTTGATCGATCCATCTCGATCAACCTTATATCAACTGACATTTCCATGTGGTGGACCGTTTTACTGAGCACAAACATAACAAAAGAGGTTATTTTCTCCCACTCTATTTAGTCTATTTCCTCTTTTCTTTTCTTTTTTTCAGATGTATTGCCCAAAGTTGAGACGAGAGTGGTGTTGGTGGGGGAGGCCGGCAACATTGCAGAACTTGAAAAAGCTCTTCAGGTACCAAAGAAGAGAGTTGAGCTTATATATATTGAGCTTTATATAGATTTGCACTGAATTAAGATGAGCTACATTAATGAGGTAAAATAATATATCAGACCCTTCTGAAGTATTTCAAGGTCATTGTGAGTTCAGCTGGAGAAGAAAAGTTTCAAAATCTTCTAATCTGATTAAAAGTAATCAGTTTGCTAACAGGAAGGAAGTAATTTTGTGTTGGTCAGCTTAGTATGGAAGCCCGTTTCCGCCACTGAATAAAAAATAAAAATCGCAAAGTAATTGCGACTTTTTATCTCACGATTCTGACTTTTTTTCTCATAATTGCGTGATACAAACTCCCAATTG